CTGACAGTTTCAGTGAAAACTCATGTCAACAGCCAGCTTACACTTTGTGAGGAGGCTATTGCTTTTACATCTGACTTTATTGCAGGAGAAAAAGCATTTTAAGAGCTGCTAGCAAAGGAAAAAAGAGGAGGCAGTTTTTGTAACTATGCTGGCAGATTCCTGCTCATCTATGCTCCCCAATTCTGTCTATGCTGCTTCTAGGAAATGCTTATCTTTTAAAAGCAATCCAATAGCTTCTATTTTGTGACCTGTTAGCTACATCATTCCACTACCTCATTTTCTCTTTAGACCTCTAATAACCATTCTAAAATTTTCATGGGTATACTTTAGAATGTCTTTCTCTTCCTACTTAACTTTTCTTCTTTTAAATTAAAAGACTATTTTCCTAAAACTTATATGTTGAACTACTACAGAAAAGTATGCTTTAAAATTATGAATTACTTATGTTTAAAATGTTTTCTTCCTTCCTCCCCATCTATAACACTAAGTCTAAAGCCTAGACTAATTCAGTTACATGTACCCAATCTGGTCGCAATCTGGCCCCAATCTGGCCCTTGACTCATTTCCAGGTTTATCAATTGGAATTCTCTCCCATATTCATTAAATCAGACTATATTGAGCTAGTTACAGATTCGCAAAGAGGTATAAGAAATGATATATAAAACAAGCTAGGCATAGTGGCAAACACCTCTAATCTCAACACTAGGAACACTAAAACAGACAGATGGGGCTAGCCTGAGGTAAATAGTGTGTTTCAGGTAGCCTGTCCTATATCCCATTACCCTAGCTCAACCCAAACCATTGACCTCCTCCACAAAAAAAAAGGAAAACAAGGATGCACAGCTCCCCCTGTGCCCTGTTCTCAAGTTCCCTCAACAGTAACTTTTTGCTTCCTAACAAAATCTGATAAATTAAATATTATTAGTAGTACTTTTGAGAGAAAATTAAGTGAAAAGAACTATTCAGCATATATGTATGTGGCTCCATCCCATGAATTAGCAGCCCCAGCTACTTAAAAGGCAAAATATGGACTGGGGAGGATATTCATCTAGTACATTGTCTCCTGTTCAAACATGAAGACCTGGGTTCAGACCTGGGTTTGGATCCTAGCATGGATGTGAAGTAAGCAGCCTGGCTCTGAGTCCTAAGGCTGAACACAGGTAGATCCCTGGTCTCAGACAAGAGGTTTCTAAGAATTACTGTATTGCACTACAGTAGACCAAGTCCCAGATAAGTTATCTAGAACTGAGGTAGTCTAGACTTTAGATTCAGTGATATAGGTGGGAGAGAAAAATAAAAAGAATGAATAATTTTAGACTATACATATTTTCTGTAGTAATTTAGTGTATTAATTTTAAAAAATAATAGTTTTGCTATAGATCTTGTCTCAGAAGATAAGGTGAGGAGCAGTACAGAAAAACCTCATGTCCACCTCTTCCCTACACATGAGACCCAAGAAATTAATTTATTTCCTTCTTTCACATACTCCATTTTAGAGATTAGGAAAAGAAAATTCAGCGAGCTTACACATGACAGTATAAGAACAAGCTAGAAGGTTAGCTGGGTGGGCTCTTTCCCAGAGGTGATCACCCGCTTTATTTCATTTAGCATTAGGGCTTTCTTTAAACTTGTTATCTTCATGAGCACTGGACTTGACTCCACTATGATTCCAGGAGCTCCTTTACTCTTCAAACTCCATACTTCATAATTTTCCTTACTCAGCTTTCTCTGGTTCATTATAGATCTAAATAATCAGGGCTACTAATAAGGAAGAAACAAAGTCAATATAAGGGTGTCTGGAAATATCCTCTGCCAAAACTATTAATCCATAACTCTTCAATTTAGTCTCAGACAGAGATTTTGGATAAGGCCAGAATGTAGTGTCCTTCAGCCAAAATATTTCAATGGTTTCTAGGCCATATACTAATGTTTTTTATCTCTGGAACCTCTTGAGCATGACTGTCATAATCTACATTGCTCTCAGTATCACTGTCATCCACACTTCTACTAGTATAGCCCATTAACCCTGCCCCACTTAAAGTGTTCAACTGCTTTACTATTCCAAAGTCCACATTCCATAAAGAAGAAGCCACATGGTCTTGCTGTCATAGCAGTTCCCCAGTCTGTGGTACGAACTTCTGTCTTAGCCAATGTCATATTGCTTTTAAGAGAGACCATGACCATGGCAACTTGTATAAAGAAAAACATTCAGTAAGTGATGGCTTACAAATTCATACATTTAGTTCATTATCATCATGGTGGGAAACCTGATAAACATGGTGCTGGAGAAGAAACGAGGAATTCTACATCTGGATTAGCAGGCAGGAGGAAAGAAAGCCACTGGGAATTGCTTCAGCTTCAGAAACCTCAAAGTCCATTCCCAGTGACATACATCTTCCAACATGTTTACACAATTCCATCAAGATCACACCTCCCAAAAATGCAACCCGGTATGAGACTACAGGGCCATTTACTTTCAAACATTCATATCATTTGAAAGATAAGAACCTTTAGGTGTTCATGAAACTATTCAGTTTCTAAACATATGTTTTCTCATCTAGAAAATACTGAGAAGAAGAATAATACCTACTTGGTAAAATTGTTTGTGAATATAACTGATGGACTTAAATTGCTTATTCAAATTGGATCAAAGTACAGATGTATATTTTCCCCTTGTTACTATAATAGCTAAAATAATAAATGAAAAAGCCAAGTCTTAGAAGATATCAATGATGACTTGAACATTGAGTAAAACCTGAGACTCTTCTAGATATTCAAATTTGTTCTCAGTTCTAAAATAGTCAGGAGAGAGCAGATATTTGACCATACCAAACGGATAATTCAAAACTCAATTACTGAGGTTTCCTGACAGTCTACTTTTTCAAGAAAGGAGATTTCTATTCTTTTTTTTCCCACAAATGCTTGTCATGTATTTTTGCATAGGCTGTACATTTGAAAAACAAAAATGGCTTATGAATCAGATCACTCTCATGCAGATGTGCATGGGACCCGAGGGCTCCAGGAGGTGGCGCTGTGCTCAGGCTACACTGTCTTTCCAGGCATCCAGTACAGGACACTAGTCAGGTTCCCGGTCTTCCATCTGTGTTCTGTTGATGGCATGGGCTTCTGCTCACATGATCACTTAAGAATCTTCAAGTTTGCTAAATTGTGCATAATTTTATCCTGATGTCAACTCTGTGATGTATTTCTTTTCTCAATTTTTGAAGGGGAGCACAATGTATCATCTTTCTTAATGATTCAGTGTTCACAAGGATGTTAGGCGCAGAAGATGAAGAATTGCCCAGCCTTCCCTCCTCATTTTGGAGTTTCAATGTTCTCTTTTATTTCCAACAAACTTCAGATGCTCTGTGAGGTATTAGTTCTTTGGTCATGAAACTGTAACACAACTGAAAGTAACTTCACAATTCTGAAGGGCAAAGCAGATTTCCAGGTCTTAGATTAGTGGTTCTCAACCTTCCTAACGCTGTGACCCTGTAACACAGTTCCTCATGTTGTGGTGACCTCAACCATAGTTATTTTTACTGCATAACTGTAATTTTGCTACTGTTGTGAACTGTAATATAAGTATCTGGTATGTGACCCTGTGCAAAGGTCATTCAGGTTGAGAACCATTGTTCTAGAGCATCTCCTAGGGTTAGTATACTGCCAGTCATATATGGGGTTGTTTTTTTTGGGGGGGGGTTGAGATAGGGAGGTCACAACATACCTTACACTTACAGTCTAAAGGTGGCACAGTAAAATCCACACATACTCTGCATCTTGTCATTAAACTGTTTGTTGAAAACAGCACAAAGCTCTCCTGTGTCGAGCCAAAACATTTAGTCTCCAGACTGTAACCCTTACTTACCTTCAAAGCATGAGAACTGCAAAGCTGGCTCTAACTGATATAAAATTTGGACAATGTGTAAACATTTTCATTAGAATGTTTCCTTTGGCAAATGGAGAACTCTACTCTTGTCAATTATACCTCATACCCCAGTTTTACAGTAAGGCTGTCTGTGAACTTATCACATTCCCTCACTCAAATGGACGTCAGCACATCCTTAGAATGTTCAGAGTTGTAGAGCCATCACGCGGTTACTCTCCACATCCCTCCAAGCAGCACGGCCTGTTCACTGAACACTGCCCTTTCCCCGGTCCTAAGGAATACCCACTGCAGCGGAGGCCAGGACTCTTTTATTGTCAGCTCCTCTTACATAATCAAGGTCACCATGGAGCACGGAGCAGCTCTGCACCCTTACTGCAAAATAATATTTTATTGTAGAACACGCTACATTTTATATACCCAAGTACCTGTTAATGGATATTCTAAATCCAGTATCTGGTTATCAAGAAGAACACCGAATTCATTCGGTTGTGGTGGCACGCACCGTTAATCTGCGCACTCAAGAGGCAGAGGCTGTGGGTCTCTGGGTTTGAGGCCAGCCTGGTCTACAAAGAGAAACACTGTTTCCAAAACCAAAACCGGTGAACTCCGTATACACTTTTATAGACATGCTCCAGTTCTCTTGGTGAAAGCTGAGACTTGAAGTATGAGGTAACTGTCACCTTTTATTTATTTTTAATTATATACTCTCTCTCTCTTATGTGCCACAGTGCCCGTGTGGAGGTCAGAAGACAACTTTCTGAAAGGTTTCCTCCTTCCACCATGTGGGTCCCAGGGGTGAAACTCAGGTTCCCGCCAGCAAAAGCCTTAACCTTGGAGCCATCTCAGCAACTGCATCTTGTTACCTTTATGTTTTCAAGAACTAATGGTCTGTTTTCCAAAGTGGCTGCTGGTAGTTTACCCTCACCCGAGCATGTATGCTTCCAAGCTCCCATGGTCACCTTAGTTCACTTTTTTTTGTTTTTCAAGACAGGGTTTCTCTGTATAGCTTTGGAGGCTGTCCTGGAACTGGCTCTGTAGACCAGGCTGGCTTCGAACTCACAGAGATCCTCCTGCCTCTGCCTCACGAGTGCTGGGATTAAAGACGTGTGCCTTTAATTGCAGCCACTGTAGTGGAAATGTTAACCCCTTGATTTGCATTCTTGATGAGCATGATCAGCTTTTCATGCGCCACTGGGGATTTGTGGCAGTGGCTTTCGGCCTGTGCAAAATGCATGGAGATCTGAAAGTCTTTCCATTAAGATTTTGCTAAGGCAAGAGTCCTTTCTAATTCCTTTAGCTGCATATTGCCTTGAGTAATCATCATTCGTATCGTATCCTCTTCCGTGGCACTTTTCTTTCTTTTGAATTCTTCCCTGGCCCAGTCCTGGAGGTACTTCCGGTCGGAATCGCTCGGAACTTGCCTGATGGCTCGCAGAATCTTCCTGTACAGGAGGAGAACTTGCTGCCGTCTCATGAACTGCTTCAGCGTCAGCACCGTGGGAGGCAGGCGCGAGGACGCCATGACGCCTGGGGCGGCAGCCGCTTGGTGCGCGAGATTTCTATTCTTAATGTGCATCTTCCTCAGGATTTCCAGAGAAAGAATGTTTAATACTACCCCAAGACATTTTGATAATTTGGCTATCTACTATTATTCACCTTTCAAGTTATAAAATTATAGATTTAAACAAACTGTGTGAGGTATGAATTCATTTGAGCTTAAGGCAAAGTATAAAAAGATATATCTCTCTCCTAGCTAATGTTCTGGATGAAAATTCTGTTGACAAGTCACTATAGTAGTAAAATTGGTATTAGAAATTTCTGATGCATACATATAAACAATATTACTGTTAGTATGATAAACATTAATCTGTATATTTTGTATATACGAAACAAATTGTGAGAATAACTAGAAATTATTAAAGCAATATTTTCTGTACTAGTTTTTACTTGAAAGAAGAATAGCCAGTAATGTAGGAGGAAGTCTGTATGCCGCCATTAAACATGTGACTTACTAGAGGCGCATACTGATGAGGTAATAAAAGGACGGTTTACCACACCGCTAACCACACCCACTTTAGGCATGACTAAAGACATATATGGCTGGACGTAAAGACGTATACATACGTAGGCGGTGAACTACGTCACTAGCCAGGCCCACTTTTGGGCATGGCTAGGGGACATTACGGGGGAAGGCATAAAAGACAGCACACAGGAAGTCTCGCTCTCTTTTCCCGGAGTTCGGCTTCCGGTTCGGCAGCGGGAAAACTACTTGGATCATCTGGGTTACTTGTTTGGTATCTTGTGAGTAATTTCTACAATAAATACTTAGTTTTACTTTCAGTAAGTGTGTGTCGCTTATCGTTACAGTGTGATTTGGAGTTACATTTTGGTGTTGGAAGCGGGATTGGAATCCGGATCCAGGCGCCCAGAAAAGCGGCTTCTCTCGGCCCGACCAGGCACACGTGGACTCTCGTTTTGCTAAGTTCCTCACCACTTCGCTCGGCAAGCCATGATTCCTGCCGCCAGGAACCAGCACCTTCCACCTTGCCGGTAAGGTTAGGCAGTATTCCAAGATTTCTCTCGCGGTCACGTGCTGTTTTACTGGTGGCCTGCTGACTTCGGCCACGTGTTCTTTCGCTGGCAGCTTGTTTATTTTGGCCTGAATTACTCCACTGGTAACAAACGTAACTGCTTTATACAATGTCAACAGCTAACATTATGATGCAGGATGTTAAGAATTTTCTTGTTTTTTGTATGGATGGGATTTTAGAAAGGGTTGAGGACCTACCTGAAAGGTACTTCCTACCCACGATGGTGATTATTAGTTTCGTAATCAATATTATTTTGCTAAAGAAATGGCTCAAAAATAGGACTAAACTTATACAGGTCATACAGTCATCGCAGGATAGTTTTGAAATCTTAATACAAGGAATTCAGGAAATGCAAAATTCCTTGCAGGAGAGTAAGAAAGGGTTGGTAGAAAATATTCAGGATATTAAAAATGATAATGTATGTCTGACGAACAGGTTTAAAGAGACAGAACACAAAATTGAATTACTTTCAGGAAAAATGTGTTCCACAGATAGAATTGAAAAATTGGAACATAATGTTGAAACATTTAACAAAAAACACTGTTCCATGTTTGATGATTTCACTAGCAAATTATAACGACTGGAACATAAAATTGAAATGCTAACAGAAAAGAATTGTTCCATGTCTGAGAGCAATGATAAACTGATAGAATATCATTTGTGGAAGGCAGTTTACATGCTATTGAGGTACTTTCTAAGGATGAGAATATTAAAAATTTGGAATCATGTGTAAATGATGAATGTAAAAAAATGAAAGATTCCATGACGTCCTTAGAAAATTATTTGTCCCAGGAACTTCAAGAGCTCAGAGAAACAATGATGAATAGACTGCAGGATTTAGAAGACGCTCACTCTGATACTTCAGAATCAGAAATACAGGCAACAGGTCAGGACAGGAGTTTCCCAACACCTCTCAAATGCTGGAAAGATCTCCCTAAGGTTGCTATGCGTTCACCTATGGTTTTTCCAGTATCTGTAACAGAAAAACCAGCAACGAAAAAACAATCAAATGGTCCCATTGCTTATCACTGGGAACCTATACAGATGAAGGATCTAAAGAATATTAAGGAGGCCATTGTTTTGTATGGTCTTCATTCTCCCTTTGTCAGAGAGCTCCTAACCTCACGGGCTACTGTAAATAAAGCAACCCCAAAAGACTGGGCCCAATTAGCCTCTGCAGTGCTCGAAAATTCTTGTCAAATTCAATGGAGAGCTTTATGGAGGAAAGAAGCAAAAGCTATAGAGAATCAGGAATTAAAGAATGGTTATGAAGTACCCCAAGACAAGATTCTTGGGGAGGGTCCTTACGCTGACACGCAGGTTCAATCTGCATTTGATGAGCATATGTTGTCTTTGTGCCGTACAGCTGCTTTAAATGCCTTGGATAAGGTTTGTGAAACAGGAGAGGTAATGCAACCCTATACCAAGGTATTACAGGGCCCAAGGGAAAGGTTCACTGAATTTCTAGAGAGATTATGCAGGGTGGTAGAAGTACAGGTAGCAAATCCAGAATCCAGGCGACTCCTTATAGAATCTTTGGCATATGAGAACGCGAATCCTCAATGCAGGCAGGTAATTTGGCCATTAAAAATAAGATCAGCGCCATTGGAGGAATGGGTCCTACATATAGCAAACCTGGAATGTAAAAGTCAGGATACAGGAGCTTGGGTAGGTGAAGCTATTTCTACAGACTTGAGGAGGCACCAGGATGCCAAATACCCTACCTGTGATGATATAGAGGCCTGGGTAGGGAAGGCAATCTCCAAGAATTTTAATAGGCATAAAGATGCAACATGCTTTAACTGTGGTAGAATAGGACATCTTAGTAGGAACTGTAGACAACGCATTCCTGGACATAATGCTTTTACCAAGAATGCGTCAAACAGAAGTCCTCAGCCTCCTGGTCTCTACAGGAGGGGTGGGAAGGGGCGGCATTGGACTGATGAATGCTGGTCCAGAATAGATAGACAAGGTAGATCTTTAAAGCCGGGAAACGGGGATCAGGGGCTCAATCGAGCCCCAAAAAGAAAGATTATCTGGTCATTCCCAGTGACAGTGGAGGACAGCCTCTCCCAGGACAATTAGAAGATCCACTGCCCATTTTAAATAATACGGCACTGGATAATACATTAGCTCCAGAGGATGAATCAATTATATCAGGAGGAGATACAAAACATATATTTTGGCAAAGTTCTATACAATATCATAGACCCAAGCTACCAGTAAAAGTAAAAAATAGGGTGATTAATGGCATTTTGGACACCTGAAGTGATGTCACTATCATTAATCAGCAATCCTGGCCCCCCCAACTGGGCTTTAAAAGAGGCTAATGTTCAATTCTTAGGGATTGGAACCCTATCTGAAGTTAAACAGAGTGTCAGATGGATTGACTTTATTGGGCCAGAAGGACAGAGAGGAAGGTTAAAGCCATATGTTGCAGATATTGCTATAAACCTCTGGGGTCATGATCTATTCCAGCAATGGAATACACAGATTAACATTCCTCCTGTATCAGCTAGGAATTATAGACAAGCTCTTAGTGGTAGAAAGAATATAGTAAGACAGTACAGAAAACAGATGCCAAATGTACAGGCTGTACAGAAGCAAGATGCTAGTGCCAAACCTACAGAGCAACCAAAAGCTCTACCATTAAAATGGCTGACAGATGAACCTGTCTGGGTGGGTCAATGGCCTATGAAATCTGAGAAGTTAGAGGCTTTGGAGAAGTTAGTTCAGGAACAGCTAGATGCTGGACATATTGAGGAATCAACTAGTGCATGGAATTCGCCTGTTTTTGTTGTCAATAAGAAATCTGGTAAGTGGAGAATGGTTACTGATCTTAGAACCATCAACAAGGTAATTCAGCCTATGGGGTCTCTACAACCTGGGATGCCGTTACCTTCTCTAATTCCTAAGGATTGGCCAATTATAGTTATAGATTTAAAAGATTGTTTCTTCACCATACCGTTACAAGAAAATGACAGAGAAAAGTTTGCCTTCACGGTACCTACCTATAATAATTCCCGTCCAGTACAGAGATTCCAGTGGAAGGTACTACCTCAAGGTATGTTAAACAGTCCAACTTTGTGTCAATATTTTGTGAATAAACCTCTAGAAATAGTTCGTAAAAAATTTCCACATTCGTTATCATTATATGGATGGCATATTACTATCTGATTCAAATAAGGATACTTTGGAAAAGATGTTTGAAGCAGTAAAGGAAATTTTGCCTCGCTAGGGATTACAAATTGCCCCAGAAAAAATACAAAGAGGAGATTCTATTAACTATTTAGGTTATAAAATAGATGCTCAGAAAATTAGACTGCAGAAAGTACAGATCAGAAGAGATCGTTACCGGACTCTTAATGATCTTCAAAAACTATTAGGAGAAATCTCTCAATTACAGACAATTGTCAGAGTAGAAGGGCATGATTTAAAACACCTGAAAATGGCTTTAAAAGGAGATAAAGACCTAAACAGCCCACGAGTACTATCAGCTGAGGCTGAAAAAGAATTAGAATGGGTAGAAAAGAGAATATTAGAAGCACATGTGGACCTTGTGGATCCAAATGTGGACTGTATTCTGGTTATTTTACCATCTAGAGAATACCCCTCATGAATATTAATGCAGAGGGAAGACATCATTCTAGAATGGGTATTTCTGCCACATAAACAGAATAAAAAATTGAAAACATATATAGAAAAGATCTCCGATTTGATATTAAAAGGTAAATTAAGGCTTCGTCAACTGACTGGGAAAGACCCAGCTGAAATTATTGTACCTTTAACGAATGAGGAAATTTCCTCCTTATGGAAGAATAATGAGTAGTGGCAAATAGCTTGCAGTGACTTTTTGGGAAGTATTAATAATAACTATCCCAAAACAGAGAGAATCAAATTCATAAAGAAAACAATTTGGATTCTTCCACGT